ATAAGAAAATCCGAAGCGTAAAATAAGACACATACTTAATTTTACTTGAAATAATTTCATTTTGTTGTCCAATCCGATTCAGTATTATGAGTACTGCCATATTTTTTGTCTAAATATGTCTTAGTACGTGTTTTAATTTAGGTAGTTTGATGCAACTCGGCCTGTTGTTTTTAAACCTGGTATGAAAATATGACAAACAGCAGATTTGTTTTTAATTTGAACAATACAAGTACATATTAAACGAAGAATTGCAAAATAAAGATAATCTAGGAATTCGCATTAGGCGCATCAGTATCTTAACAACCAGACATCAAAGATTTGCATCCCACGAATTTGCTTTGTTGTTCCAGGTCGAGGTTCATCGCCTCGGAGGTAACTATGGTATATGTAAGGATTCCTTACTTCAGGACACTGGGCGAATGTATACGCAGACGGTATGTAATCAAGTAACCAAATCCTGGAAATATCTGACAAATTTTACGTATGATATAAGATTCTGTTCTTATATGACTGAAAAGAAGTTAATTTACCATTGATAGTTCCTTACCTACTAAATTTAACACCGCGAGTTATAGATCACGTGCTTATATATATATACATATAGCTAATGGGTTCTTGGTGATTTTAAACAGTTAAGTACGATAGGTGAAGTATGTTTACAGAAAACGTTATTAAAGCGAATGCAGGTTGACGAGAAGTATGGTTATCAAAAAATGATACAGGTTAAAGTCAAGTATGATCATGATATATATAATAGTTATTGAGAGATAAGTCAAGTGTTCGCTAAATAATACTTTCATAGGACTCAAGGTTCTCTCCAGACATCACTAGATGGATACTTGACACGGGTAGTAGCTCTTGGCAAGACAACATGTTGCTTCATCTTCTGTGTAAAAGGAAGAAGTTCAGCTGTCCTCGCGATTGTAAAACGGTTTTAGAGTACTCAAACCCTATCTGTAACTTACCGAATAAATGCATAAGACTGCATTTAAAGAGACTGTGTTACACATTAAGGTAATTGATTGATGCTACGAAATTAGTTTCAAGTTCTTCCAAATGGTTTGTGTACCCGTGGTCCTACTGTTCTTAATCTTTACTCATAAATGGTATATGAAGGATCATGTAAAAGTTTACATGTGAGGTTAACAATAACAACGTTATTTATAATCCTTTGCACATTTATAATTGATGGAAATAATAGGTTTTTTGTGTGTTTTCTTCTTCTTCTTCTTCTTTGTTTTTTTAACATTTGTCTAATACGAATTACCTTACCAAAACTTGTTAAATGTAGTCTCGGGATCAAACCTTTGTGTCGTCTTTTTGAAATATAACCAGGTGACCAATCTTTTGTCGTCTTTGTGAAATATGATCTCGGGATCAAACGTTTGTGTCGTCTTTGTGAAATATTACCAGGTGACCAATCTTTTGTCGTCTTTGTGAAATATAATCTCGGGATCAAAACTTGTGTGTCGTCTTTGTGAAATATTACCAGGTGACCAATCTTTTGTTTTCCTTGCAGTCGTGTATAAACTTATGCGTCCAGCTGAATGTAATAAAGCAGTGCAAGTGTGTGCCTGGCTCTGTTGAGGACGCTTTAGACAAGCCGGAACACAATAATCTTTCTTACTGTGAGGGTGAAGATTTTGAAAGTGTGTACTTTTTTTTTGTTTACCTCCATATCATTATTTTATTTTTGAAATGTTTTCATGTCGTAGAAGAATAAAGCTAATTGATTCAAAGGTAATTTGCGAAATCTAGATTGTATATTCCGGAGCTACATTGTATATTCCGCTACATATGTAGCTATATATAGCTACATTTGATATATATTCTGTAGGTGAGCCGTGAAGTTATACCACGAAGAATGCGATATCTAAGTCATATGATCATATCATTGAATAGCAAAAATTGTATAAAAATGCATTAGAATTGCATTTCTAAATAACGAAAGAGGCATAAGATGTGCCGGGAAAAGTGAATGCTAAATGCTGAATCGTGTATATTACTAAACCAGCAGTTAAAAGGATTTTGCTGTGAACAGAACTTTATCTAGATCTCGCATATATAGTGATTCCGATATTTGAAATATTTCACTAATATCCCAACAAAACTGTGTATGTGGTTGTAATTGCGAAAACCGTACGACATCGACGTATCCTTGTCGCGATAAGAAAACACGTCTCATCGCCTGGTAAAGGCGGGGTTTGATAAGCCGCAAATGCACAATTTGGACATTGGACTTTGAAACAGAACACCAGTTATCCAGGACGAAATGAATGCTAACCACGATTAAGTTTGTGACGAGATATCGGTTTACCGTTTTCGTTTATTCCGGTCGAATATTAAAACTTTAATGCATATTTGTAGCACTTTATTTAAAATATAAAAACCAATGTCTAATTGGACATTCATTTGGACTATTACGAATGTCCAATATCATGCGGGATGTTCAATAGGCTAACTTAGGCTGTGAAGGAGAAACCTCAATATTAACAATATTAATTATGAGCAGTTTTCCTTGTTAAGTTTTAAGCGGAACTGTTCAAAACGTTTAATGTATTTTCTAGTGTGTATAGATGATAAGAAACATAGTTTAATACATGTTGTTAAAGGGGCATCACGCTGAAGTAACTTTTTATGTCTTTTTTTCAAATACTACATAAACATATCAAGTGAGACTCCTTCTGGAAAATAACGATCGGATTTGGCTGAAATAGATTCATAAAAATGATTAATTCAAGTGGTCAAACTGGACATTTGGAACGGACTATGAATATGGGGATAGCGAGGTAACATAAGTGGAAGTGCATACAATACATACATTCATTACAAAAAACCGCCTTTTCACATGATGTCCCTTTAACAAGGTGTTGCATGCTGATTTATAACTGTAGAAATGGTATGTCAGTTTGGGATAGAGAAAAGGCAGCTAGAAGGAACACTGAACTGTGACTGTCCAACCTCGTGTCAGTGAGTATCATTCTGTAGATTACCATAATTTGTGTGTGATATTTTGGCTCAAGACTACTCATAAGCGAGTATAAATCTGTGTATTACCCATCTTTATGTTCGCATAAAACACTTTATCAATCAGTATAATTAAGTAGATTGCATGTATTTTGCGTAAAGAGTTCTCGTCAGTGAGTATAACTATATTTCAGTTATTATTTGTGCGATATTTATTGTCGCGTAAATTAACGCTGTGGATCCCTGTTATACTGCATGACTCTTGCTTTGATAAATGATTCATGACAAGAAAACCAGACATTCAGGAAAAAACAATAAAGACGAAACGAACAAGTGTATTGAATTCGATCGAGCTATAGTTATATCCAAAATGAGTTTAATGGGGGATCACTCAATGACGAAAAAACCCAATAGTACAATTATCCAGTGTTTACCTTGTAGTGGGATAGGGATCCTCAGGTTTTGACCATGAAGTCAAAAGTCACAGGAATTGCTATTTATCAAACGTGATATAAAGCTTTCACAAATTATTGTTAACCGTTTTATTGTGACTTATACCCATTAGTGACTGAAACACCCCTGTAGACTCCGGAAAAATAGATTCACTGTCTCCAACTGGGTGCTATTGAAAAGGGGGACTATTGTGGGGCTCCCTGCAGAATCATGTGTTTTTCTGTATCTTCTGTTAAGTGCTGCTCCATTGCAATACGTATGCCTCCCAAGAACGTTAAATCCATAGTTAACAAACGTTTTTAAATCATGTAAAAATCTAAAGTTTAGGACGTTCGGTACTCTTATCCATGATTCGTAGAGTTACGTCTTCTTAACCTGCTTTCTAAAATATCATAATTTTTGTTTCTTTTTTTTTCACAGTGAAATTCTGTACACAAAAACACTATCATCCAGGACTTGGCCTCACGATGAGTATTTGGTAAGCACATATCCCTCTGTATATCAATACCTTTTATTTAGCATGCTACATTTGGTAATAAATATTTTCTTTAATTCTTCATGTAAATCGCTTTATTTCAACATGATTGGGAAAGGCATTGTTTTGAGTTACAGTCATTTAAGTAAGCTTTCTATTTGTCAATACGTTATCGTCTAAATATCGACCATAAATAATATTTTTGTCTATATGTCAATATAGCCATTGTAAACGTTTACTTCCATATGTCGACATAAACATTGTTATTGCTAACCTTTAAATGTTTTTATCGATAACGTCTATATGTCGACATTGACGTTGTTATCGCTAAAGTCTATATGTCGACATTGTTATCGCTAAAGTATATATGTCGACATAGACGTTGTTATCGCCAAAGTCTATGTGTCGCCATAGACATTGTTATCGCTAACGTCTATAAGTCGGCTTAGACATTGTTATCGCTAAAGTCTATATGTCGACATAGACATTGTTATCGCTAAAGTCTGTGTTTCGCCATAGACATTGTTATAGCTAAAGTCTATATGTCGACATAGACATTGTTATCGCTCAAGTCTATGTGTCACCATAGACATTGTTATCGCTAAAGTCTATATGTCGACTCTTATGTTGCCAAACACGAGGCTTTGCCGAGTGTTTGGCAACTTAAGAATATTTCCTCGAGGGTTGAGATTCCTCTATCTTACCCACAAAGGGGTGAATGATTCTTTTTCTCTTACCCTGTTCTCCCAATGTGTATCATAGACACAATGTACTGATAACGGTACAAGCTAAATTCAGGGTTGACGTGACGTTGATGGATTGTTGACGTGACGTTATTGTATTGTTGAAGTGACGTCATACCATTGTTATTAATAGGGGAATCCCTCCGTCTCAACCCTAGGGTGAGACAAGGAAATCTCACACCGGTAAATGTGCGGATACACCTGAGAAATTGTTATCGCTAACGTCTATGTGTCGCCATAGACATTGTTATCGCTAACGTCTATATTTCGACATAGACATTGTTAACGTTTCTGTATATAGACATATATCCGGTTGTTTTACGTTTACGTTTGTGTGTTTGTCGTTTCAGCGCCAGTTCCTCATGGTAAAAGTGTGTGCTAAGAACCTAACGTCGGCTGTACAGGCTTGTGCAGAGTACAAGGAGAATGCTAAAAACTTTAGCGTGGAAAGGTAAAGCATGCCATCATTCGATAACAATTTCTGTTATCTATCATAGGCTTTCGACATCTATATGCATCATAGCATTAGGAGCGTATAACATTATCAATCAAATACAAACTGAAAACAGCTAGATTTTATATTCTATGTCCAATATTTCGCTTTCAAATGCGAATACAAGGGGAATATATACGTTGTTAACCAGGTGAACGTGCTATCTGACATTCTTTCTTATACTTAAGTAAATATTTAAATGAAAATTATACATGTGTTATATCTTTGTCCATAGTGTCATCGACAACTTTTTGGGCGTCAACATTTACTTTGAAGATGTCAACTACGAGGTGATCACAGAGTCTGCCAAGTATGACGTAAGTTCCGGTCATAGTATATTATGACGATACTCTCTTAAGTGTGACGTAAGTTCCGGTCATAGTATATTATTACGATACTCTCTAAAGTGTGACGTAAGTTCCGGTATTAGTATATTATTACGATACACTCTAAAGTGTGACGTAAGTTCCGGTCATAGTATATAATTACGATACTCTCTAAAGTGTGACGTATGTTCCGGTCATAGTATATTATTAAGATACTCTCTAAAGTGTGACGTAAGTTCTGGTCATAGTAAATTATTACGATACTCTCTAAAGTGAAAATCAAAACGTGTTATAATAATCGTTAGCAACAGATAATGAATTAAATGAATGAACGAATTGTGTGATGTATTTGAATAACACCATGTGATTTATATAAATAGGCAGCAAGTCCATTAACACTCAATGTATTTTCAGGAGTTCCAGTTGCTGTCCAATATTGGAGGCACTCTTGGTTTGTTTGTTGGAGCGTCTGTTCTGAGTTTTGTGGAGATCATTCAAATGCTACTCGAAGTAGTTGCCTACATCTGTAAGAGTCGGAGTAAGAAGAACAAAGTTCAAGAGTTGAAGGTCGACGAGAAGGCTTAAAACTAGTAACAACTGGACCCCGCTAACCCGGAAATGAACTGTTCGTGTGTATAAAACAAGATATCAAACTTCAAAATTTCTCACTTCCGGATAAAAAAGGATTCAGGAAATCGATCTGTTTTTAGATTATCGTCCGAGGTTAATGTGTTTAATGTGAAGCCTTATATTGTATTTATTTAAAAGGCAATATTTGCCTATGTTATGATATTTAAATGCTATATATATGCAGCAGAAATCTCTGAAAACATTATGGTACAGACCTGACTTTAAAGATTATTGGACCTATCGGCACTTTGCTTCAAGGTTATAAGCTAATTTTATCTATATAAACTAACTATATCCTTTTTATTTCAATTAATGATCATGTAGGATTATAACGATGTTTATGCATTCGACGAACGCAGATATATAACGTTCAATGGGACATCTGATCTAAACACAAATAAAATTTAGTAACCGACAACAACCCGCCCCGTCCCCGCCCCTCCCTCCACCCTCCCTATGAACAAATGTGCTTCAAAATGTATTTACATTGTCAGTTGTAGTTTAGTCATCCTTTAATCATTCCTCGATACGAACTGGATAATCACATTGCTTCTCCAGCTGTACGAGCTTAGTGCGCCTTTTTATAGCAATAGTGGCGGCGAGTTCCAACATTTTATTATCTTATTTTTATCATTAGAAGCGCACTCATTAATCAATGTATCTAACACCAAGGTGGTTGTTAGTGATGTAAATAATGATTGACTGTTTCATGTAATAACACGACATTGTATGTGTTGCCTGTTATTTTTGCTGGAGTCACTTCACTTAAAATCTTAAAACCATTTCTTATGCAAATTTTAAATACGTCATTGGTTATCAATTCTTAACACCATTCATTGTTGTTTCTAAGTCAATTATCCGGACCTCGCTTTGAGGACGTACCATATGTATCCTTTATTTATAAATGCACACATTCATTTATATTCGACTGAGGATATTTTCGCTTGTAGTTTTGTCTTAAAGCTAAAGCTAAAAAGTGATCTCCTTTTTCATTTAAACAATTTCGCATGTTGGAACATTGGTACGACAACAGAAAGTCAGTAGAGATAGTTATACAGTTACGTGTATCGTCTATTTCAGATCAATATATTATACTTTCTCGTACAGTATCAATGTTTTTCAGATTTTGTATTTGTGCTAGTATACATTTCATCCAATTTTTGTGGTATTTGATTACATTTAGTCAAATAATGATTTGATATTTAATGAGCATTGATGTATTCAACCTTTTTCATCATTCACCCTTTTAACAAAGTATGTTATATAATAATAAGTTGTATAACACAAATATGGATGTTTTTAAAAATAATTATGTATACAATATAACAATAGGTAGTTAGACTTCAGTTTACACTGTACAATGTACGCTGTAGATAAAGTTTCGGTGCCAAGTGTTAGTTTTGTCGACCGTTGTTTAGTGATTTTCGTCCGTCGTCCATCACAGTTGCGTCCTTGCATGTTTTTCTTGCACATATTTAAAACAGCCTGTCTATAATATGGACTTGTAATATATAGTATGTAACACAGATGTACATCACATTTTGTGTCGATATGTTATATATTCGAGTGAATATTTCGTATTTGCAATGCATAACAATTACATTTCATTCCATTTTAATAGGAAACGCAATATGTTGTACTCATTTGTTTCAATTTTACGTGGCGTCAGGAACGGCTAAAACTAACCTCCAGTCTAAGTATCTTATTGATTATTTTATATCACCGCCACACCTTCTTCACTCACAATCGACGACTGGTCTTACTATATTTATCCTCTTTTATACATGAATAGAGCTCCTTAAGTTATAACAGGACTCTATAAATTATTTTCTGATTTATTTTCGAGAACTTGGCTAGGCGAATTTAACAATATGAGGAAAGAATGTTTCTATCACACTCTCAAGAGCTGGAAAGCGCAACTCTATAGAGGACACGTGTGGCAGGTTCTGCTTCTCTCTGTTAAATACACTGCACGAGCTGCATGCCAGAACTAAACTCAGTAGGAAACACTCCCCGAATGGATTGTATACACTCGATGTTAACAGCCCTTAACTTACTAAACAAAAGTGATTTTATTTTCTGGACACTTACTATGATGATATTTATCACGCATGTTTTAAACTGTGTTTTAAATTTAATATCACTATTTCCTGAACACAAAATTGATCAGTATTTTCCTATGTTGATTTTGGATGTCCACGTAAAGGTTCTATTGATTTCAAATCCATGTTGATAACGGTATCTACAGAGTCGAGTCTTGTCTATGAAGGTAGTAGTCATTCCTTGAACGTTAACAAAACCCTTCCATTCGTTTCCCTCTCCTTTAAGGCAATATGTCACTTTTGAAAGATAGAAACCGCTATTGTTCGTTTTTCATTATCAACACTTTAGTCAAACAATTTGCACCTGTCACATGTTTTATGCAGTCTATTCTGCTAACTAAAAGAAAACAAATCCCCCCCCCCCCCCCCTGTGCATTTACATTCATGTTGACGCACAGGTACATCCTATACTTGAAATTTAGAAGTAGAATCCACCTGTTTCCAAGCATAAACTATTCCATACCACTGTAAAGCTACAACATCCCGTCTGAATAGAGGTTTTAAGCGTACAAATATGCAATAAGACTTCCAATACACCATTCTCTTCATGTCACCTTTAATTTACAATAAAAAGAGGAAGGCGTGGTAATAAAACTTAAATGATAACTCAATGGGAACTCACCTTTATTATTAAATATTTGAAAGATAAACTAAATGTTTAACCAATTGCTAAAGGTGTTATAACCAAGCTTTTAAGCGATAACACTGATTAAAATGCTATTCAATAATATGTGTGTTATACCCAGTTGTACAAAAATATATGTCATCTTAACATTTTAAGTATTACGAAAAGCAAGCAAGCCACGAGAATCCTACATCACATAGTTAGTTCCCGTACTAGTTGGGGTGGAGGGCGAGGGACCTCAGCTCGACGTAAACCGATTTGAGAATCGTCATGTGATTTACCAAGAGCTTTTGGCGGACCAAGGTTTTTAAAACGGTCATTTTGATTTTCAATATAGATGTCTTCGCCGTCCCTGTGGATGACGCTGAACAACAGAGTAGTCCGTGCTGGTTTCCTCGTGACAGTGTTTGAATGATTATTCACTTGGTTCTTTTTGATTGGCTGCCGAGGAGCTTGCTTCAAGTTACATTGGTTATAGCTGTACTTCATCGTTGTTTTTGTTTCAGATTTGTTTGAAAGCTGTGATAATCTAGTTTCAAATTTCTTTGTGTAACGTTTAAACTCCACTACAAACAATTTTTCTCCTAGCTCGTACGCTCGGATTTGTTTCTCACATTCTCGTGTGAGGTCTTGGTGGTGTCGGTAAAGATGCCCATGACGTGCTTGATTTCTCATAGATTCATACTTGACATTACTAGTAATATCAAACTCCACTGCCGGGGCAGCCCTTTGGACGCCATCTTTGCCTTTTCGACCGGAACTGAGTTGTTTGGGTTTCTGCATCATATTTACACTAATAAGCACCCCACCTTGACATTTTGTATTGTCAGCGCTGTTGTTAATTGTTTATATGATGTGCTGTTACCAGCTCCATAAATGTTAATTGGCTTCCTGTCTGAAAAAAGAGAAAGTTTAGTTAACCATCGTAATATCATACTAATATATATTAAACATCTGCTACAACGTTTTTCTAACCGACTTTTTTTTATAAATTTTAACAAAATCAACAACAGTTAAATAGTTTTAAATTAGGATAAAAAAATAGGAAATGTGCTTTGTTGAAAGGCTATTCATCTGGATCAATACTCAGGTAGGCTATTGTTTTTCGACAAACGTTCTTACAATTTCCAAACACCGTTCAAGATGTGCTGAGTGGAGAAGTGTTTCACGGCCAGAAACCGGAACTTAATACCGTAAAATGTAGTTTGATTATCAACATAGCTGTACAATTAGACTAGCCAATATACATTGCAATGAGTTAGTTACAGATTTCCTAAGCATATTGCTATTGCTAGTAGAAAACGCCTTACGAAAAGGAGAGATAAATTAAAAATAATGTCTGTAAGTGTGTTATGCTAATGAAGTAAATTAGCTTTATATGATGAATGTTAAGCTTTATATAAAGTTAATGATATGTATCCAGTAAAATATCAAAACATACATAAAGTTACAACAGAGATATATCTAACCCTTAACCGATACAAAAAGACAATAAAATATGACACAAAAACAGTAGTAACAGCATGTTATGCCTCTTACAGTCTTAATGAAAGGATGGCGATCACCAGCGATCTATTCATCTAAGACAGTAAACTAACTAAATCATATTTAATAGCATAGGAAAATGTTCTCCTGTTATTTTTTTTATATTGCATTCCAATTTTTATAGTGTGAAAATCAAATGCATCACTGGACAAACATTCCCTGTATTGGAACCTGTTGCGTCTATACTAATACATATAACAATACGACGATTGAGTCATTTTACCTCCAAGCATTAACAGGTATTTTCATGTATTTCTCATGTTACTTTGTATCTATAATGTGTATATAATTACATCAAACATGCATATAAAAACACCCGATGAATAGACCAAAAACGATTTTGATAGAAAGTCAATCTTTATAAACATATTATATTTTATAGGCATGCTATTTATATAGACCGATGCTGCCGTATGCTTGCTTACTCAATTTTAATTTTCATCTGTTTACGCAAATAAGTTGTATAATGAACTTTAATATCTGAACATAAACGTTTGTTCAGTCACAATTTTATGAATATATTTCGGAAATCTCCAAGGAAGACGAGGTGTAAATCAATAACTAGTTCCCTATGAACCATTATTATATATATTCTAATATCTTGAAATAAACAACAAAATTGTTTCTTGTATTGAGAAATTTGACAATAAATAACAAATTGAGAATTACCTTCCATATAAAGGACTTGTGATTTATTGATTTCTATTTACTAATGTGTTTTATATTGATCTGATGACGGCGGGAAGTCACAACGTTAAACGCCCAGTCGATTCACATCGACAATCTGTTTAATCGATTATGTGATTTTTTGATATTCAGATTTATTTATGACGCTTTTCTCGGCTAAGATCATTATCAAACATAAGAGAGGTTCGCTGTCCTCACTACGATACGGTAGGTTGTTTGCCTGTGTAGTTGGCTTACTCCTGTAAACAGGTATGTCACAAAACAAACAGGCCACTCCAGCCTGATAACACAAGCCTCTCCACATGTCACTTCTTATCACGGAGTTGTATAAGGTGCGTCCAATGACGCCATCACATTAAGTAGTTAGTCAGGTTATAATTTTCTATTAAAGTATGAACATTACTAAAGGGATTCTAAACATATTGCCAGTACGAATTGGTTTATGACCATGATCATTCTATCCCGAAAAGCTTAATGGACAGAGTTTATTTTCTTATTAACTCCTAATAAAACTTAACTTTATGCCAAGTTGACTCGTAAGAATGTAAGAATGCGGGACCGTAAAATGACAAACATCACAGTTGTTTCAGGGCGAAGTGCGAAGAAGATGTTCAGGTGGAAGAAATTACGATTACACGGAGAAATATCTTTCCATGTCCGACCGGGGAATGGAACCCCGGCGGAACCCCGGCCGAAAGGCGAGTGTGCTATCCACTGCACAACCCAACCATTGGTTGTCGTCAGTCCATCACCTTTTTATTTGAACGACTTCTTACCTGGGATGAAGTGCTATGAACTTTCCTCATTAAAATGACCTTGACCTTGACCTACTATCAAGGTCACAGGGGTCAAATATGTAAAAACTTTCAAAAAGCAATATCATAAAAACCATTTAGACTAGAGTCATGATACTTGAGTATGTTATGTAGACCAGCAGTGCAAATTGGTTTTTTTTAATTACAGTAATGAGGTCAAAGGTCAACTTTAAGTGCTAGTCGGGGGCCAAACGTCTACATTGTTTAACAATCTTCTTCTCAAGTTCCACAAGGCCCAGAGTCATGATATTTGGCCAGTATGTACCTGGGATAGAGTGCTATAAAGTTTCCTCTTTAAAATGACCTTGACCTACTTTCACAGGAGTCAAATATGTCAAAACCTTAACAACAATATTAATAGCAATATCATAAGAAGCATTTAGTCTAGAGTCATGATACTTGGGTATGTTATGAAGACCAGCTGTAATCGTTTTCTTATTACAGTATTAGGTCAAAGGTAGACGTGGGTAAACTTTAAAATTAAGATTTTAAATTTCAAACAACAATATCATAAGAAGCGTTTAGGAGATGTTCAAATGTCTTGTGTTCTAGTTACCAAATTTGGTCTGAAGTTACCTTTATGTCAGTTTTATGTAACAAAAAAAACAGCTGAGCGATACAGGCCCTCTGAGCCTCTTGTTGAAAAGAGCGAACAATACACCTGTAGCTGTCATCAATGAGACTGAAAAATGGTTTCCCCGCAAAAAATCGTCCAGCAAGCAGAAATGAGGCAGCTGAATGTCTATTAATATATTTAGCTCCAAGTACCATTACTTATGATAAATAATATATCACAGCGTCAAAAAAGAAAGACCTTGTGTAGCGTGACGTTATATGATTGGTAGGCTTTCACTCTTAATGTTGTTTAAAGTTACTAGGTCAACTTTCCCATTTCAGCAGACTATTTAAATCGTGAGGCACATTCACTGGTGTGACGCACATCATTGTAGAGTTTATACAGTCTTGTGTACAGAACCTTACGCCTAGATCAAATTTTAATTAGTGTTTAAATGACAAATGTATTAAAAACAGCTTAAACAAATATTGAATGCTTGTTAATAGAATGTCAACTGTCCCATTTAACTCATTAATTTCCTGGTACACAGAATGAAATGCTGCTACCCTACTCATTATTCCTGGTAACAAAAGGATATTAAAAGCAAATCGTCTTGATTGTGTGTAAGGAACGGATTCGCCTGGTACAATTTACACCTCTGAGGGAAGCACACATTGACACCGTCAGCAGTATCGGGTATCGTGCTACAATACTGGGCCTTCCCTAGGTCTTAGGAAATGAGCCATATCCTTGTTTCACATTTTAAAAAGAATGCCACTATATTACTGATATTGATAATGTATATAAAGTGCTACTCTTTCTGCCTAATTCGGAAAAGAATGGCCTCACTGGGTGTCTAAGTTTTGCATTTTTGGAAGCAAATTAACATGAAAATGCGCACAGAAATGGCTTGTATATCTCACTGATGTTAAGAGCCTGTTGTTTTATAATAACGAGACGGACGACACAGCATATTTCACTATTGCGGTACTATAAAACACCCTCAGATGGCTCCATTACAAGTCTACGCAGTTCATTTGAAATTTTAATCCATACAATATTTCTGGTAATAAAATTGTCAAAAAAGCACCCATGAAACATACTGACAAAGGCAATGATCATTCCACAGAAGTAAACAATAAGAAGACAATGGATATTATATGTTTGGCCAGTTACTTCGTATACTGTGAGACATGTGTTTTCTTGATGATTAAATATCGCAAATGCTCATTTAAACTAAACTTCATTGACAAAGGAACATAAAGAGGTCTTTTTGTAGTCTTCATCAAACAGCAAACTCAAGTTTGTGACTCATTATCGTATGTATACATATGTAGTACATTATATAAACGTATCTTGCATATTAAATAAACTTGTAACCTATACAAATAAGCAAAATAGTGTTGATCATCTGCATATCAATAACATTGTGTCCGAACACCTACTTACCTGATCAGTACAGCATGTCCACCGTTTGTGAAGCTTCCAGTGTTTAAGATCGCAACCAATACAGATGTCATTCACACGGAAATAAATCAATTTCAATGTGTTAATATCAGCCTCATTTTCTGTTCCTTTTATCAGATAGTCCGCCGAACTGTATGTAGAATCGACCCGGGTTGTCGTCAGTCCATTAGGCCTGCATATCACACACAGAAATCAGTTTGTACAACCTGTGGTCCTCCTAACAAACCCTCTCGGCTGTCACCAACAAAATCATTGAAATTGTTGACGACCACACAGCACCGAGATGTCTCTGTAAGAGATTGATTTAAAGCAAGTCTATATTCACATCCAATGTCAATATTGACTTGGGTATTCATAAGGCCTGTATACTCCAAACAAAACTAAGTTCTCCATTATTTAACTTCTACACAAACACCCGTCAATGTATGCACTGGACCGTTTGTAAGTTCACAATGGTGTACGAATATAACCTGCAATGAAAAGAACGAACGAAATTAGTTTTTAATTAGATGATATTTCCATTAAAAAGTTTAATTAAAGCTGTGTGTTTCCGATTAATAAGGTCTTGTGGTTGTACATAAGTAGGCATAAGTACAGGTATGTTACTAAGATTTTAGTGTCGTACTGTAAGCTAGTACAGTTCTAAGTATAGGTAGACATTCGTATTTATGTCAAGGAAAGAGACCTCCATATAAATTAGATATTAGGAGCAATAGAAATTACATAACAATTAAACCTCAGCAAACTTAAAAAAAACACTGATTACTGTCAACAAATTATATCATTACTAGCAATTAGTAAAAAATAAATACTTCTTTTGCTTTTTTGCGTGGATATAGCTTCTGAATTCTGCTGCTTCTAATATTACTGCTACTACTGTTGTTACTGGTACTGTTTAATGCTGATGTAACTTTTACTGTTGCTATTGTTGCTGTCACTACTTGTACTGATGTTGATGTTACTTCTGCTACTGTTGTTACTGGGACTGTTTAATAATGATGTAACTTTTACTGTTGCTATTGTTGCTGTCACTACTTGTACTGATGTTGATGTTACTTCTGCTACTGTTGTCACTGGTACTGTTTAATACTGATGTAACTTTTTCTGGTGCTATTGTTGCTGTCACTACTTGTACGGATGTTGATGTTACTTCTGCTACTGTTGTCACTGGTACTGTTTAATACTGATGTAACTTTTTCTGGTGCTATTGTTGCTGTCACTACTTGTACGGATGTTGATGTTACTTCTACTACTGTTGTTACTGGTACTGTTTAATACTGATGTTACTACTACTACTGCTGTTACTGTTACTACAGCTTTTACTGCTACTGTTATAACTACTAATACTGGTAATACTGTAACTACAGCTGCTATTGCTAATGGTATTACTACTACTACTACTGCTGTTACTATAACTACAGCTGTTATTGCTACTGTTATTACTACTACTACTGTTGCTACTGTTACTGTTACTACAGCTTTTACTGCTACTGTTATAACTACTAATACTGCTAATACTGTAACTACAGCTGTAACTGCTACTGTTATAACTACTACTATTGCTGTTACTGTAACTACAGCTGTTACTTCTACTGTTACTTCTACTACTACTACTACTACTACTACTACTACTACTACTACTACTACTACTACTACTACTACTACTACTACTACTACTACTAATACTGTTGTTACCGTAACTAGAGCTGTTATTGCTACTGCTATTACTACTACTACTGCTGTTACTTTAACTACAGCTGTTACTGTTACTGCTATTACTACTACTGCTGCTGTTACTGTAACTACAGCTGTAACTGCTACTGTTATAACTTCTACTACTGCTGTTACTGTAACTTCAGCCGCTATTGCTACTGTTACTACTACTACTACTACTACTACTACTACTACTACTACTACTACTACTACTACTGCTGTTACTGTAACTACAACTGTTACTGCGACTGCTATTACTACTACTACTGCTGTTACTGTAACTACAGCTGCTATTGCTAATGGTATTACTACTACTACTACTGCTGTTACTATAACTACAGCTGTTATTGCTACTGTTGTTACTACTACTACTGCTGTTACTGTAACTACAACTGTTATTACTGCTGTTATTACTACTACTACTGCTGTTACTGTAACTACAACTGTTACTGCTACTGTTGCTACTACTGTTATAACTACTACTACTGCTGTTACTGTAACTACAGCTGTAACTGCTACTGTTATAACTACTACTACCGCTGTTACTGTAACTACAACTGTTACTGCTACTGTTACTACTACTGTTGCTACTACTACTACTACTACTTTAAGATACCGCTGAGTGTTTTTCTAATATTCATTGAGCAATTCCAGTGAAGCTGTATAATCTATAACGCTGACAATATCAATAAATCATTTCCACATCACACACCCCTATATCTGCTCGGGGATGTACACAATATCACTCTACTGATTAAGTTGCAGTGAAAAATATGAGAAGTAAAATTAAAACCACGATAAGTAGGCTGTTCCTTGTAGGGCTTTGAATGAATAACAAATTTGATCAACAATGATAATTTATTTTTAAAGTTTGTTCAGTAACTTTTAAATCAACAACACGCAAAAGCAATAATTCATAAAGATTCCGAGACTGCTGGGTATTTATGCAGTGTAACTGAACTTTAAATAATGCTGCACTGATTCTTCATGGTACGGAAGCTGCAAATGTAACACTACCACGAAAATCTCCTGTTCACAGTAGTACTATTGGATACGTGGGAAGTTGGAGAAAATAATATGTGACCATTAGATTCTTCTAAAGTAGCCTTTTTTTTTCATTTTCATATTTTAGAATAATAAATAGAGGATATTTGATGGTGGCGTCAGTAATAACAAATATATTTCACGAGTGTGGCTAATATTTTGATATTTTACACAAGTGCGCAGCACGAGTGAAAAATTTAAAAATATTAGCCACACGAGTGAAATATATTTGTTATTACTTGAGACACCATAAAATTTTCTATTTATTACATTTTTGAAGCATAAAACATGAAAAAAATAATGCACCTCAAAAAAGGGTGGGAATCAATTAGCGCCGTATCCTAATGACGTCACACTTGACAACAAGGCTGCGCGCCATTTTGAATGGGATACTCAACGCAATTCCGCCTTTTTTTGCTGTTTTCTGGTATTATTGCTTATAAAAATGTTATCAATTCTATCTTTATGTAAATACTTAAGTGTGTGTACCAAACATTTACCATAACAACCACTTATTCTACCGTCGCTTCATTTGAATCTGAACAAAAAATCGCTGCCTTTGAATGCAGCGAATAGAAGATACCGTTATGATTGGTCAATATCAAAAAGTGATATTTTCACACTGTGAACATATCACTTTTGATATTTGTCACAGAGTGAAAGATATCAGTTTTATCAAGTTGATAGAATCCAATATTTCACTGGCAAAAATGTAATAATTATCATTATTACAGGCTTAATACCCATCAAGACCAGAGAGGTCACAATGATTAATTAATTTCAAGGAATTAACATAACGGGAGGGAGTGTTTTTTTGTGTTATTTTTGTAACAAAAGATAGCATCTTTGGTTTGGACTCTGCTTTTCTTAGAGGATCTAAATATAACATCAATGTGCATTTCATTACGATAACATGTTTATGGTTTAATTTCAAGATGAGCATATTTAGAGGACCTGACAGAATGTCAGATGTTTAAACAAATGTTCATTTATTTATGTAAACCAATTCACATAATGACTTTGATTCTTCACTGTGTCTCACCAGGCATGTATAAAGTTGCATCAATTTGCGGGGCAGTGGTGGCTAAGTGGTTAAGGCGTCTGACGTTCTGCTACCACTAGCCCACCACCACTGGGTCGCGGGTTCGAGGCCTATATAGTCAAATGTCTTGGTCAATCAACAGAAGGGTCGTTATTTGTGGATGACTTCTTGATCTGTTACAGATCTAAGAACATGCACACGATAGAACGACAACTTCAACAGAGTTTAAACAAACTACAAAATTGGGCAGACGAAAACGGCTTCAAATTCTCTAAATCCAAAACTGTGTGCATGCATTTCTGTCAAAAACGAAAAGCACACAATGACCCAAATCTAACACTCGATGGCACTAGAATTCCTGTTGTTGAACAGACTAAATTTCTCGGCCTCATTTTTGATTCGAAACTCTCTTTCATACCACATATAAAGTATCTGAAGGATAAGTGTTCCAAGGCGTTAAACATTATACGAGTCCTTTCTCATACTGATTGGGGAGCGGATCGTGAAATGCTTTTGCGCCTATACAGATCACTTATTCGAACAAAACTGGATTATGGTTCTATGGTATACGGGTCAGCGCGCAGTTCGTACCTTCAGATGCTAGATCCAATCCATAACCAAGGGCTACGTCTTGCCCTGGGAGCTTTTCGAACAACACCTGTAAAAAGCCTGTACGTGGAAGCAAATGAACCATCCCTTTATGACAGAAGAATAAAACTTTCATTACAATTTGCAACTCAATTAAAATCAAACCCTAAAAATCCTGCTTTCAACCAAGTATTCAACCCCAAATACCAAAACATATTTACGCAAAACCAAAAACTTCTGCCAACATTTGGTATCCGAATTTTGAATTTCCTGCAAGAACTCAACATAAAATTGACGGACATAGCTGAATTTAACATATCTGATGTTCCTCCGTGGACCATTCAAACCCCCGATTTTAACTTTACATTACATGAGCGAGGGAAATCAAGTGTTATGCCCGAAGAACACAAATCCTCCTTTCGGGAATGCATTTCGAATTACCCTTCTCATACACAACTTTACACCGATGGCTCCAAAGAAGGTGAGAAAGTGGCAGCAGCCTGCTGTACTGCCAATACTTGCACTTCAGTCCGACTACCAGACGGCGCCTCCATCTTTTCTGCTGAAGCATGCGCCATTGGTTTGGCCCTCGACCATATCGATGAACACCGCATTAAAAAGGCAATTATTTGTTCAGACTCTCTATCTGTCCTACAGAGTTTACAGTTACGAGATCCTAAAAACACAATCGTACAAAACCTTGCTCTTCGAATATCTCGTATATTAAAAAAGTCTAAAATAACTTTACTATGGATTCCGAGCCATGTCGGAATAAAAGGCAACGAATTTGCTGACAGGGAAGCAAAAAATGCATTGAATCTCGAACAAACAAATATCAAACTACCATACACAGATTTTAAACCTACTATTCGTACAGCCATTCTAAATGAATGGCAGAAACGCTGGTCTCTGGAGACCAACAACAAACTTTTTAAGATACAACCGAAACTTAAAACATCTATTCCCAGTCGGAAAAATCGTAGAGAGGAAGTTGTACT